CTTATGGTCCTGGCTCCATATCCATTCTGGGGAGCGTCAGTCCGGTTCCTATTCCCCCGGCAAGTCGATAGAATACATCGTTTTACCCACTCAACGCTTCCTTCCGTCTGGCCGAAAAAACCCTGACAAACATTGATTACTCCTAGGATTGACTGTCAGCTTGCCTGACGACTTGTTCTTCTCAGGCTTCTATTCAGAGCCTGTCGAATGAGTACCTGCAATACGAGAAGAGTGGGGGGGTTTGCTCAGTGTTCTGTTGCTTGTCCTTGTCCTTCATTGCGTGTCCGGTTTGCCTTGTTGGTGATCCCCCTATGGGGCCTTTTTGGCCTTCTGCCAGGTTACCCGGCAGGAGACCTTATAGATTTCATGATTGTGCCCTGTGCCATTTTTTCCACCTCAACCTGTTGTCAGCTATCGTTGCCACCTTGCCCTTTAGCAGCCAGTTCCTCATGAAGGTCTGTTTCTTGGTTGCTTGGCCTTCTGGTCTGTCTTGTAGAGTTGACTATTCTCCGTCATCTGCTTCTGATTTCACTCTCTGCCATGCTCAGCAGTAATGACCACTATTCTTCCCTAGCCACCTCTGCACCTTGATTGTCTGAGTGCATCTGCGTTTCCATATCACCCACAGTGCCAGCTTCCTGAGCAGGGTAAACCATAATTCCCTGCTGCCTGTGATGTTGCTGGGGATGTTAGTTAGGATTAGGATAGAGAGAGGGGGAATGTGAGGGGGCGGCGAAGCGAACAGGATCGACCACAGCTCGCGGACCTTCTTCCATACCCATGTCGCTTCTGGGCAGAAGAGAAGGCAGTGTGGGATGTCTTCGGGAAAGTTGTTGCTGCACATTGAGCAGCATTCCGAGCTATCAGGATCAGAATGTTTCCTTCTAGTATTAGCCATTGGTTGACGGGAAGGGCTGCGTGTGCTATTAGCCATTGCAAGCTGCGGATTCTGGTTGGCCTGATGAGAAGGTATTTGGTCCATGGGATGGTGATGGGGATGGTGTCATCTAGGTTCAGTATGCTTCTCCATTTCTCTGTCAGCCTTGGATTAGGGTCCTTGGTTAGTAGTCCGAGGTTATACCCGAACTTTACGTCGTATTCTGTTATTGTCCTCGATTTCCTGGTGGCGCCCAGATCCCGTATCCATACCTTTGGGTCGAATTCCAACTCCTTAATGCTGACTTTCGGCTGGAAGATGATCCAGGGTTTCCTGTGAGAGACTCTGACCTTCCTGAGAAGGTAGGTTTCTATTTGTTCGTTCTGTGGTGTTCTGTTTAGGACCTCTAGTTCGTATATGCTGTGTTTGGTAATGGGGTAGGATATGAACTTGACCTGGTAGTTAGTCGGGTCCGGTTTGGACACAAAGCGGTAGCCTCTTGTTAAGGAGGGTCGTCCATGGGGGGAGAATGCTTTGCAGGATTTCTGACAGGTTGGTGGTCAGTAGGTGGCAACCTTTTAAGGATGTGTGGAGGTCCTGTTCAGTTAGCCTTTTAAGGATGTGTGGAGGTCCTGTTCGGTTAGCCATTCTTGTTGGTCCTCAGAGCACAGATGTTTGACCTGCTATGCTCCTCTCTCCACCCAAGACAACCATCTGCGGTCTTGGCCCGGAGAGTCCATGGTTTGCCCTCTGTGTCCTTAATCATGGGATTGCAGAACAGGGGCTGTCTTAGGACTTCCTCTTTGTTGCTCCGGGACCCTTTCTTTTCTGGCATCAGTCGGTGCCAGGCCTTCAGGATCGGTGACCAGTAGGGGATGTGCGTAGTGGGGTGTTGATTGGGGGTCACGAGGTTGGTTCTCCTAGCAGGTCTTCCGGACTCGATAGCCCATTCCTTTGCCATGATCCAGAACAGGCCACTCATGTATGGTGGGGACGCTACCGGTGCCAAATTCCTCATGTCCTTGTGGAATATGATATTGCCTTATCGTGTTGGACCTCTGTTGTTTGAATGCCTTTTGTGTGTATTTGCAATTCGAATGGGTCGGTTCTTCAATTCTTGACGACAGTGTCCATGTTGTGCGCGTTCAGCACACTGTGCGTACAATCTTGATCATAACATGGCACGCTTATAAAATTTTGACCCTTGGAGTGCATTTGTCTGTGCATGTCTGTGTGGGGTATACTTTTGCTTTGTAGGAACTCAGTGAAACTGCTTCTTTTCAAGAGCAGGAGGAGTCGGTTGTTGAGAAGCCGTCGTCGGTGGAAGGACATTCGCTGCCTTCTGGTAATTCTTTGATGGACGTGAAAGAAGTAAGTTTTATGGGGGTCTCACTCTCACAGAGTCTCATCTCATTTGTTCATCTTTGCAAACTGCTGCCCTGGCTAAAGGGCGGCTATCGTTGGGGAAAAAAAAGAAAGTCAGGATTCTTTCCTGTTACACCAGCTTATGTGGTCGCTCCTCGGAGTGAGTTTCATACTCAGCTCACAAATTGCCAGTAACTGCATATCATATGCTGTCCACCAAATCCACTCTATGAGCTCTGTGCTAGCTGCTTCTTCGACTGAGCCGCAAGCCATAATGCACCTGCTTGTTCCATGTTTGGAGGACGAGTCTCTTTGTCCTACTTGTTCAACGTGTGTTACGCAGGCCTCCATTTGACTCTTTCTGGTGTTCTTGCTGTGTTGGAATGGCTTAGCTGTGGCTTGATTTACTTTTGCCGACTCAAAAGTGCAGTGGACTTCGTGCACCCTGCCGTGGTACACGTCCGTATTTGTCAGCGCGTGCGTGACCATGCCTTTCTCTCTTGAGATCTGCTGTTCCTATCGTAATGTTGTTGATTTGAACACTGGGTGGTGTCAGTCTTGCTGTCGACCTCTTTTTTGGAGTAGGCAGAGGAAGGCAACCAGAAACCTTGGATGTGTTTGGATTCTCCCGAAAGAGGGGTGGATGGATGCAACGGGCCCATCAATGTCGGGCCCGGTCCACAAGATGACTGGGTCACCAGCCAAATTCAGGTGCATGCAGGCTGATGTGATCGCTTATCTGAGGGATTATGTTATTAGTTAGTGCAGTTAAGGAAGCTTCTCATACACCAGCAGGGTGGCGCACGTGAGAGATCGTTGTTGCTGACTCTATATGGACATGGGTTTTCGTACTTGTTTCAGGCAGCCTCGATGACGCGACCTGAGATTCGCAGCAACCGTGATACCGCAAGGCATTCTCCTTCCATGAAACTTCCCCAAATGGATGACGCCGATGGAGTGTCCTCTTTGACACATTGCGAACATCATCAGCAAACAACAAGAAGCAAGGGTACCTCCTCACCAGGAAAAACACAGCATTCTTCTCCACAAGTGGTAGTGGGACCTCCCAAGAGGTCTCTCAAAAAGGGTGAGTGCTGCGTCTGCTGCGTTTGATTGGGGCAAAAAACAGGAGGGGGCAGTGGGGGTTGGGGGGGGTAGGGAGCCATTAGAGTTGACTGTTCAGCGGTGGGGGGTGGGCAGGGGAGGGAGCCCCCATCAGAGTTCACTGTTTGGGCCAGATACCCACCATGTGGCTGAATGGCACGGACATGTAAATGTCGAGAAACAATCAAGTTCAGATCGTGCTGAATATAATAATGTTAGAAGCTCTGCCCCCTCTGGAAGTTTGAAATAAAACACGTTGGACCTGTAATCACATCAGCGGGTTTCTTGTTTACCAGGCAGAAGGATGTTTCCTACTATGCGATGTATGCAAGATATCTGCAACTGTGAGAATACAAGCAGACAGGTGTCAGAACACAAAAGTTTGAATCAATGTCAAGTCTGAAAAATAATTCGTAAGGAGCAGTTCATTAGCATTTGGTGGGTCCCTTTTCCTACACCATGACCATGCAATGACTTGCTGGTTCCAGGTTGCCTGTAGCCTCTCTCTGACGAGGCTGTACCATAGGTAGGGACAGATTCGTAAGTTTGTTTGGCTGAGGGCTAACCGAGAGACCTGCCTGTAAGGAAAATTCGGAGGGACATATTTGTAACTATAGGAAATATGGGCCCAGTACTAACTCGAATTTCCTACAGCTACCCTAACTGCGAATAGCAGACCCGGGCTACCCCTAGGACAGACAGGCCCAATGGGCGTACGCCGATACACGGTCCTATAGCCTATAGCCGGGTAGGGAGAGGCCCTAGAGGCCGAAACAGAAACGGTACCGGTCGGTCAGTCAGTCCGGTCTAGGTTGTGTCCAGGCTAGTTTAGGGTATAGATAGGATGGGGACATCGGTCCTGGGCTTTTGGCAGTTGACACTTCGTGGTGGAAGTTGCTGCGCGCACAGTATCAGGTCGTGGTTGCTGATTCCGGTGTGGGAGACGACGAACATAGCCAGACCTTCGGAGCGCTGACCAGACTGGGGTCAACGCTGTCCGCTCTGGCTCTCTGGGAGTCAAAGCGGTCTGGGCTATTAGAGGTCTGATGCATTGGAGCACGTGGTGCACTGCTGACCCTCCTCAGGAGTAGGGCCCCAGTGGCGATGCAGCCATAGCTGCATCTCCTCAGAGATTATCATCGTTTGGACATCATCTTCATCAGAGACTGTTGGCCAGTGGCGATTGGCTCTGGGAGCCTGTTTCATCTTGGCGCAGGCCACTGAGTTGGATGTCAGGGTGGCATGTGGTGTTACCTGGGGTTCTCGTGCTATTTTTAGCTATTCAGAGTGTGTGGGGTTGAGGCTCTATCCCTCTGAGGGTAGCGCAACAGGGTTCTGAGGTTATTCAGTGAAAACGATGCTCTGAGTTTAATGAACAGTAGTAATACTGTGTTTGAGTTGTCATCTCTACATTGATTTCTGGCTGTGATCACCGGGTTGTCTTCTATGAATGATTGTTGGGACTTGTGTAGAGAGAATTCACTGTGTGTGTGTTCTGTCACTTCACTCCTCTGAGTCTTCCGCTGCCTTTCTTTTGTTGGGCGGTGTGACACTCCACTAACTCTCCCCTTCCTTCTGTGCATGTATGGGCGTGTACGGGAGTTCCTGTGAGTGAGCGTTCATAAAATTTCAATGGACAATCGTGTTCATAACAACCATGTGCAAGGCATTTTTCCCAGTCTTCTGAAACTGGAGAACAGATCCTGCAATACGTTGTCCAGAGCGTTTTGCTGCATTTCATATGACCCCATTTGACGACCTGCCAAAGGGTGCTGTATTTTGCGGAGCTCTTTTTGAACAAAGAGCGCCTCAGATGTTGAATATTTCCTCGGAGAAGCAAAATGGCTCATGCTCTTTGCTCCGGTGTGTTACGGACTTAGCCAGGGCTCGATCCCTGGTCCGCTGGTTACCACCCGCAAGGCTGCTATTTTTTTGAGTTTCTGGTCTCTGTGAGGATTAAGCCCTCAAGTCGGGGCCTTGCCATGATGTACATGTTCTGGGCTAAGGCCCCCAGCAAGCCTAGTGCCCGCCCTAAGTGAAGGCGGGCCTGCAAATCAACAAGAGCCTCTATGTCAACATTTCACGAAGTGGGGGGGGGGTCTATACAGTTGCAGCACGCCAGTTGGTTGGAGTGCACCAAGTCTCGGGTTTCAGCAAATGCTGAAAAGCCCAGGGCCTCTGAGTTGGTTAGGCCCTGGGCATCTGAACGTGAGGCCGACAATGCATGCTGGGAAGA